AGTTTTCGAACTGTTGGGTTGACAGGAACTGGGGAGGAAACAGGAGCTCACTCTGTTTAACACGAAGGCTGGACTCGAATCGCTGAAGCGTCGACCATTTCTGGCCGGCAACTTTCAGCATCACCGGGATTGCCGTCTTGTGAATGAGCAATCTTCCCATGCCGCCATTTTGAGAGAGACATTTTAAAATGTCAAATGTGCCCCCAGACCAAGAAGTTTGGAGTCCCCTGGAATTCATGGACAAGCAGTCCAACCTGGTCCAAGAATGACACATGTATTCTTGGGGAAATTGACTCTTTGGAGTCTTGGGGTTCTCTGAGCTTGGTTGTTTGACTCTTCCTGCACATCTTAGGCTTTGCTCTCCTAAGAAGTGAGCTTCTCTTTGATATCTTCTGGGTTTCCTCAGCAGGAAAGTGACTACAAGGCAGCTGTGCAGAGCAATTAGCAGCCTCCTTTCCTCCACCCTGCCAAAATCCGCTGGTGGCTCCGCTCCTGCCAATCTTTCTCTGCTCACCTTCTTTCTTCATTACTGGGAAATGTCACAGGCAATGCCATGCAAGAGAAAGGTGCTCATTCCAGCAAACAGCAGGCAAACCAGGCTTCAAACAGCTGTTTGCACAAGGAAATGACTCTCCTGCTGAGATTTAATGGGTTGATGGATGGTTCATTTATGCCCAAACTCATCAAGAAGATGATCAGGAGACAGAAAGGGGGAAGGGAGGGTCCAAAGAGAGGAAGCTACAAATGCATGGTGAGAGGAGAATGGTAAGATGTCAGGCAGATTCTAATCCACCCTCCCCACCTAAAAAAAATGCTGCATTGGTAAAATCCTGCAAGGAGGAAATCATCAATGAAGAGTCTTGCCTTATCCTTTCTGGAGAAACATCAGATTTCAAAAACCCAAGTATTTGACATCTCAATCCAAAGGTCCACATTGCCATTGAAACCAGAGCCAAGACACAACCCCCGTGTAGCCCCCAGCTGTCAAGTTTCCCTCCTGTTCCACCCCTTGATGCCAAGTCTAAGAGGGCACAAACACTGCCCAGGCATTTGCAGAAATCCACAGCTTTGACATTAGAATGCACAAAACCCCTTGCTAAAAGTGGTCTCCACAAATGGGGAAAAAACTAATTCTGCAATCATAATCACTAAGCTGTCTTTTCCTTGTTTAGTTTTGGAGAGGGGGCTTTCGTATAACTCATTTTAGCTTTGTCAGTCATGCAGGTGATCGGAGAACCGTGCATTCTGGCCAGGACCACTGGGGTGGTTCTTCTGCTGGTCCTCTAGCTTCTGAGATTTCATTGGATAATTCTAATTTCAAGCACATCCTTAAAACTCCTGAGTCGAAGCAGGGCAAGGATCAGTCCTTACTGCAGCCCATCCAGAAGTAACAGTCACTTGGCCGCATTTAACTGGTTCACCAGGCAGAGACATTTGCAATACCCACATAACGTCTTGTTTCATTCGAAAACTGATGGTCTTGGTATGCTGTGAATTTATTGTCAGGCCTCCTTGAAGTGGCCATTAAAGGAGCTGCTAACCTTTCTCTAACAGCTAAGTTCACAAGCACTGTTCATGAATATTAAGTTCATAATGGCATACTTCTTGTTTTGTGAATATATTTCTGTGGTTGCTGGTTTGGGGAACCTGGCCATAACAATAATAGTTCTTGTTATTATTGCTATGCTGCATTTTGAAGTGGAAACCGAAAAGTTGGGCAATGGAAGAGTTGATCTTCTGGAAAAGAGCCTACAAATTCCCCTTAGAGACTTTTTGCATGAAATAGAAAAAAATGAACTTATGATTTGTGGGTTTGGTGATTAGAAAAAAAACTAGATAACAGAAAAAGAGAACTTTTCTTTTTATAACCAGGTAACAGAAAAAGAGAACTTTTCTTTTTATAACCATAGAACAGTGTTTCTCAACCTTGGCAACTTGAAGAACTGTGGACTTCACCTCCCAGAATTCCCCAGCCAGCATAGCTGGCTGGGGAATTCTGGGAGTTGAAGTCCACACGTCTTCAAGTTGCCAAGGCTGAGAAACACTGCCATAGAGTAAGAGATAATTTTGTAATCATACTTGTATTTGCTGCAAAGGAAATTAGAAGTTTCTTTCTATTTCTTTTTATCTGTTCTTCTTACACTTTTGTCTTTCTTTCTCTTTCTTCTCCTTTCTTCTTTTTCCTTACTTTACATTCATTTTTGCTAGCTTTTATTTTCTTTTTAAACCTTTTAATACCACTGATTAAAAAAAAGAAAGAAAGAAAATAGCCCATCAACTCGTAAAGGGAGCTGGCTTGCCATCTACAGAGGGCATTGAGGCTCTACCCCATCAAGGGGGCAGCTGCACAGGAGGGAGCCCCCCTCCCAAAAGCAGTGAATTGGGCTTCCCACTCAATCAGCAGCTTCTCTTAACAACCCCAACCCACCCACCTCCTGCCAGCATCACTATCCTACCTTCGTCTCCTTGATCTTGACAGCAATCACTTGCTTGCGCTGACGGATGATTTCCATTAACTCGTCGCACTCTTCCATCAGTTTGGCCTCATGCATGGCTGTGTTTACCTAAACAGGAGGGGGGGGAGAGGAGAAACTCATAAGAATGGAGCAGGGTGAGGATTCTTCTCTGTTTATAGCATACGCTGCATGGCGGAGGAGCTTCGAGTGGTTGGGTTGGAAACAGCTGGCCTTTCCAATATTGTGGGATTACATCTCTCATCGTCCCACACCACTGGAGGATAAGAGATGAAGCTGAGCCACATCTGGTGAGCCACAGATCCAGCCACCTCTAGAATAGACACCTGCAATCTTGAGCAGAGGAGAGATGTCATGTTTTCATCTGCCATGTGTTTTCCCAAACAAAATTATATCACTGCTGATTCCTATCCAAGCGAGGCTCCAGATGTGTCTGCTGGGGGAACGGGACAGATGTTGAGGGTTAAAATAGCCCTTGGGAAAAGGAACAAGCATTACCTCCTCTCCTGTTGCTTACCTGCTCTCACCACTGCCTCCTGGGACTACTTTTCATTTTGAAAAATGGTGTTCTATTAGCAACACACACACACACACACACACACACACACTCCTGCATCATATTTAATTTCCCCACAGGACCCATTTCTCACTGGTCTACTCATTAAAACCCAAGGATTTGCTGGGTGGAAAAGAGAACACAAGAGTTAGACAAAAAGGTTTGTCTTTTCTGTAAAATTTGAGAAGAGGGCTTTGGGGTGGCGTGTGCCTATGTATGGTTGTGATTTCAGTCTGCATCAGGGTGAATTCTTCAGATATATCCAGATATGCATCAGTGCCTGTCTTCAGATCTGCAGATTATTGAAACATACTAAGAGCAAGCTCATTCATTCTTAACAGTTTTACAAGAGTAACTGATTTGGCTTCCATCTTCCAACAGAATGCAAAGCCAAAAAACAGCGTCTGGATTGAAGTCATTCCATGAGCTTCATGGCTGAACACTTTCACCCCTGCTCCCCATTCAAACATCAGGATACACACAGAATGGAAGAGCTCCCTATTTCAACCATGCTAGTCTCCCTGGCCCCTGCAAGCCATTTGAAGCCAACAGAGTGAAGGATGTTTAAAACAGGAGACGTTTTCCTCCATGAGTCATTGGCATCACATTCCATGTCATTAAAAATGGGCACCATTAATCCATTCATTTCCCCCCCAATGCAAAGGCCAGCCTCTGGGGAGGAAGAAAAATAATCATGAACATCAAAGGAGACAAAAAGAGGGCAGTTATATCTCTTTTCACTGCAGTTCTGACAAAATGTTAGCATCCCTTAGCAGATGCTAACATTTTGCATTAGAAGGAAATCCTCTTATATGGTGCTCAATTAATTGCTCAGGCAAGGAAAAAAATGCAAATAGGGGAGGGACAAATTGCATATTAACTCTTCAACTCTGCCATTGCTGACACCTTTTCTCCAAAGGCCATTTGGAGTTTCAAAAATGCTAGGTTTGCTAAGAGGGAGTCACCTGTCCAAGGGAGGGGGACAGAGAAGAAGAGAGTGGGGTATCCCCTTAATATGAAAACCCTTCCCTGCTGCATCATTTACTCTTTTCCTTTGAAGACTGGTTAGACGGAAGCTCACTAAAATGAGGAAGAAAAAAAAAATGCATTTTCTTCCGCTGTGCTAGAAGGGGCAATTGACAGGGCTTAAAACTTGTAAATGAAGTGGAAAACTGCAACCCTGTAGGGAGAATTCTGAAGCTTCCCAATTGAAAAGAAAATTGCAAGTCCCATTTGACGTGCCCATTATGGGTTCTGGGTCTATCCAGAGGCATCTGGTGTGGGAGGGGAAAAGGGGAAAGTAAGAGATTGGTGGGGAGAAGGAGAAGGCAAGGGTGTCTATGAATGCATGCACATATAATGAAAAAGCTGAAGCACACGAATTGCTGAGCATATTAGAATGAAAGAACAGCCCTGCTGGATATTTAGCAGGCTGTCTGTTGAGATCCGTACAGCAAATGGGATTGGGGTTATGTCCTTGTCTCAAACCCCCAAATGTCTTAGGCTAACCACAGAGAGCAGAGGAGGGCAAACTCTCCACTCCAAACTGCCCCAAATCTTTCAGCATTCCTAAATTTCAGTAATCTCACCCAAAGATCCCATGCAAGAAAGTCAAAATCTTGTGAGAGCTCTCATTCACTTTTTGGCATTGTGAGATTTGGGATTTTTCAAATTATTATTTCATTTGCATTACAGGGAGGTTCACAAGCAACGCTCAGGCACCGATGGAGGTTACATCACCCCTGCGGTAGAACAAGCGTTCTGTGATATGCCCTGTCCTCCAACCCTTTGCTTCCATTATTTTAAAGATGAATAGCAAAGCAAGAATTGAAATGCTACCTAGTGGTGGGTATTGAGCTGAGTAGCTGATTCAGTCCGATTCATGACGACAATTCAGAACTGCTTGCAGAACCTTAGATCTGATCTATACAGAGTTCCCCCAAGTGGCAATATTGACCTCCAAAGGTCGATGGGACTATCCAAGGGGTCAATAAATGTCTGGGGGTCAAAAGGAGGTCAGTAGATGTCTGGGAGTCAATAAGAGCAGACTGAACCTGGAAGAGCATGGTGACTTACAACTAAAACTCACCGATCTCCAACCAAATATCAGTGCCCTTGTTGATGCTCATCAAATGCATCCTTCCCATTAATGATATCAACAGTTTCAGCAAAAAAAGTATGTTAAATCTTATATTTTTCATATTTCAAATATTACCTATTTTTATGTCATTATTATCTATTATTATTCATAGTACTATTAGTTAAAGTAGCATTTATTAAATTATTTTCATATAATAAATGTTTGGGGGTTGATGACCAATCTGAAGCTTCATGAAGGGGTTGATGAGCTGAAGAGTTTGGGGATCCTTGATCTAGCAGCTCCAATTAAATACCTCATCTTCACAAACAAGTGAAGTTGCTACGGTCTTGTATAGAGTTCAGTTTTAATCTACCTAGATCAGCTTCTGCTGAACAGATCATGGTCCAAGAGCTGATCCCAACAGATCAAAGCAAAGGGCACGGCAATGTTGCTCAAGCTTGAGTAGGGTAGGTCCATATGTGTGTGTCTGTGTCTGTGTACATTTGTGTAAGCTAATGAGCATGCAAAGGAGTCAATCTATCTTGCCCTACACTGAAAAAATAAATTGCAAGGAGCCTAAGAAATGAAGAAATGCCTGCTTTGATCTAAGAGTCTCAGCTAAGAGAGGAACCTCAGTTACCAATAATAACGTTAGGACAGACAAGGCAACTTCAAGGCAAATAGAGCGCTTCAACTTCAAAAGGAGAAGAAAACTGTAAAAGCAACATCCACCTGAAGCGTGACAATTTGGCAGGTCCAGGGGGTTGCAACTCTGCAATTAAACCCTAGCAACTGACGGCAACATCTGCAGTTAAACCCTTCAGAGCTCTAGATGGGCAAAAAAAAAAAATTAAAAAATGAGAAGGCTAATAGCCCAGGGCAGCCAGACACTGTCCCCATTATTGCTCTGTAGTAATCAGAAACTTGGAAAGAAGGTGAAGATTTCCTGAACAAAAGGTCAAAAGCCGGATCTCTGTTTCTTTTACTGTTTTCATTTCCATCATTAGAAATGCGCTTTGCTCAAGCCCTTCTCTGTTCATCCAGCCCTAGCTATTAAAGTCCATTCAGAATGGCTGCAAAGGCGAGAAGAATCAGCACTCAGTACATGTTAGTTTCAAGAATTTGTATGGATGATTTGTCATGCTGTAATTAAAACCACAAAAATGCAGAAATCTAACAGATGGAAATAGTATTCCCCCGAAGACTGACCCAAATTTACTACTTCATCAAAAGACCATTTTCTCTTGTCATTTTGAGGTATTGCCTCTTCTTGCTTTTTTTCCATGGTCCATGTAATTTTCCTAAGATACCTTATCATTGATCATTTTAAAACAATTTTTAGAAAAACCTAAATCACTGCAAATTTTATCTGGACTGTTGGCCTCTTCCTTGTGTCAGTTTTAATTAGCACAGCATGCTTTCAAATTGATCTATACCAGTGTTTCTCAACTTTGGCAGTTTGAAGATGTATGGACTTCAACTCCCAGAAATTCCCCAGCCCCAAACCAGCCGGGGGGATTTTGGGGGTTGAGGCTCAAACATTTTCAACCACCCCAAGATGGAAACACCGTGTTTG